TCCTCACCGGCCTTCCCAAGAAGACCATTAGACAGCTGGAGCTCATCCAGAACGCTGCTGCCAGAATTCTGACTAGAACCAGAAAATCTGAGCATATCACACCAGTCCTCAGGTCCTTACACTGGCTTCCAGTTATATTTAGGATTGATTTTAAAGTACTTTTTCTCGTTTATAAATCACTCAATGGCCTAGGACCTAAATACATAGCAGATATGTTCACTGATTATAAACCTAACAGACCACTCAGATCATTAGGATCGAGTCAGTTAGAAATACCAAGGGTTCACACAAAACAAGGGGAGTCCGCTTTTAGTTATTATGCCGTCCGCAGTTGGAATCAGCTTCCAGAAGAGATCAGATGTGCTAAAATATTAGTCACATTTAAATGCAGACTCAAAACTCATCTGTTTAGCTGTGCATTTACAGAATGAGCACTGTGCAATGTCCGAACTGATTGCACTATATTTTATGTATAATCATTTTCTATTCTTAACTGTTTTAAATTAATTTTAAACCTCTTAAATCAATTTTTAAATCATTTTCAAAGTTTTAAATTCCTTGTTTTATTGTTGTGATTATTATTTTATTATTTTTTTTTATTTATTTTATGTAAAGTACTTTGAATTACCATTCTGTATGAAATGTGCTATATAAATAAACTTGCCTTGCCTTGCCTTTTTCACAATAGGCAGGTCTATTTATTTATTTAGTTATCATTTGCTAAGTAGCTATTGAATAAATGCGGTAAACATGAAATTTCATTAGTATTGGTATTAACTACTGATATTTTCATATATCATATTCAGGGTTTATTCTGTGATTACTCTTCTTCATGATCACCTTATCATGTTTATTTTGTATTTATTATCAGCTGATTGTTCATTATCTCATATTTGTCTGTTCTGTGACACGTTATAGCCATTCTGCCGCCACAGACAGGCTGCTGTCCTTCACCTCCGCCAGTACACTGCCCTCTGTGCTGTCACTAACACAGTCCAACCCATCCCTCACCGCTGTTTTTCTTTCTTCCCTAGACACGGCAAGCCCGCAGGTCAGCGGCGAGAAGAAGGTTCAACGAGATTGGAGCGACTTTAAAATTTGATGACTCCTTCCGCTGTCCCACAAGAGACAGCCATCAGCCCTAAAGAGTAATACCATCTCTCTTTTTCATTCTTCTGAAGTCATCTGTTGTGTAGGATTTAATGTAGATTTAATAATTTTTGTAAATTATCATTTTAAAAATGTTATTAACCAAATTTAACTTAATTGTAAAAATTATAATCAATTAATTTACATTTGTTTTAGTATGTTAGTCAACACATCAAAATAAGTGTACTTTTTAAAAGCACAATGAACGATTATTAAAACAGAATTTAACATTGGTGCTCTATGGACCAATAGAAAAAAAAAAAACTAATGGGAAGCAAATTTAATTTAAATAAAATCTTAGTAAACTTTTTTTTTTTTTTTGAGATATCAACTTCAAATACGGAACACAACTTGTTTCATGATTCATGGTTTTGATGTTCTTGTTGTTTTAGAGAAAAACATGTTTTGGAAAATATATATTTCATATAGAATTTTAAAAGAGTATTTTTGTATACCATAAAATCCCCTAAAAATTCTAAATATTAAATAAAAAAAAATAAACAAGTACATTTATTTCATTGAAATGAAATCAATCAATCAATCAATCAATCATGCGAGAATCACCAGAGGGTAAAACATTTACTTTTACTTTCCATTTGACATTATTACAAATACAATATTTTGAAGAATGTGTGTAACTAAAGAGTTGCTGGTCCCCATTGACTTCCACAGTAATTTTCAATGGGGTCCATCTACTGTTAATTTGCCAGTATCTTTCCAAATATCTTCTTTTACGTTTGGCAGAAGAAATAAATTAATGCAGGTTTTGGGTGAATAAATTATGACAGAATTTTTATATTTGGGTTACTATCCCTTTAAGTGCATTGAGAAAACAAGTACTCGGTTTTAAGTTTTCTGTTATTTCATTAATATTATATTGCCTGCAAGTTTTCAATAATTTTACAGTTAATTTAATGTATTTTGTAATTTATTTATTGTGTAAATGATCATTTTTAACTAGTACTGGGAAACGATTAATCGTGATTAATTGCATCCAAAATAAAGATTTTTGTTTATATAATATATGTGTGTGTGTACTGTATATATGTATATATAAAGACACACACATACAGTATATATTTTGAAAATATTTATATATATATTTACATGTATATATTTATATTCATATAATTTATATTATATATAAATATATTTAATATATAAACATACATTTTTTCTTAAATTTGTACATGCATGTGTGTGTCTTTATATATACATAATAAATATACATAGTACACACACATTCATTATGTACACAAAAACTTTTATTTTGGATGCGATTAATCGCTATTAATCGTTGCCCAGCACTATTTGTTAACTTATCTTTACTCAAAACAGCCATAAAAAAAGTTATTTTTGTGGAAAAAGAAAGCACCCTGAGATGAAAGTGTACGACTGGGATGTTGTCCGACACAAAACATTTTTTTTTTTACACTGGTACTGGTGTAGTTTCTGTAGTCCTGTCTGGTGCATATGACAGCTCTGTTTCATCTCACTGCTGTGTAGTGTGACAGATGCACTTGTTTTCTATTCGGGTTTGTATTTCCAAAAAATCTGCACTACCAGCTGAGACATCTGCACTTCATTTGGGTTTTGAGAGTGTTTTGTTTATCGTTGGCCTCTCTCTCTCTGTTTTCAACCCGTCCCATTGCTGGCCAGGTCATCTGATTATGGGGAGGAATATGGAATAATTTGTCTGAACCCCTACTGGACTTTCTCCCCTGAGTATACACTCCTCACACTGTATTCCAAGGACTATCCAACCATTTCCTACCGGGACATATTTGAGGACTCAATTCACTACTTCAACCAATGGAAACGGAGCACAATAATTGTTCTCCATCGCTGGCTTTTGGAACATATTGCCTTTTACATCCCCACGGCCGGGACTGTCTATGTGTTTGCTGCCGACTACAGTATGCATTGTTTACTGGATGGTCTGGGTTGAAGAACGACACCTCGCTGAAGAGGTGAGTATACATCTGCTCTATAGAGAACACTCACCTTGAAGTGTCTCTCCCTGCTAAAGCAAATAGAAACATTAGAAGTTGTTTTTCTTAAACTTTCACATTGGGAAATATTATAATGTGTTCTATCAAGATGCAATCAATCAAAATGCAAACAGTTTGATTGTTTTAAAAAGGTTTTGTCATTGAAATTATATAGACCATTATTCTCAATAAATGCTTGTGTACTTGACATCGGCCTCACGTTACATAAACATAATAGCATTTAAATGTATTGTAATATTATATTATATTATATTATTTATTATATTAAGAATGTATTCATTTCAAAATCAGCATTCAATCATTTAAAAAAATCAGCTTTGCCATCACAGGAATGAATTGCACTTTAAAATATATTAAAATAGAAATCAGTTACTTTCAAAGGGGTCATATGATGCAATTTAAATTTTTCCTTTCTCTTTGGAGTGTTACAAGCTCTTGGTGCATAAAGAAGATCT